TTTAACAATTAATTGTTACAATTGACAAGAGCCTGGAATACATTCAAATCAGACAGTTGATCCCTTGCACACCGTTTCAAGGAAACATGTGACAACAAGTGAACTGACTAGCTAAATGAAAATGTCTCACCAAAAATCAGGGACTCAAAAAAGAAAAAAACTGTGTACAGAGAGAACAAGAAAATGAAATGAACAAGAGTCGAAGGCCATATTATGGACAAAAAAAATTGTATCTCGTACTGTTCATGTCTTGCTTTGCTGTGAATAAATATTATTAAATATAATAAATATTATTTCATTTACCTTTTGCGCGACATCAGTTTGTCTTCACTTGGCACGCTGGCTTTAACTCCTTGTAGAGTCAGCTTTTAGCTGTTTGGGAAAAAAAGAAAATATATTTTTTAAGGTTTAAGAGTTTTTAACATAGGTATTTGTTTGTTGATAATTAACTATTAGTATTGAAAAGCAGGGTGAGGAACCATGTATGGCAAAACTTAATATGTGCGATTCACTCATGTAGGTTTGGTTTTGCTTTTCTCTTAATCTACATATGAACCACAACCAGCTCAGTTTTTGAGATTTCTGGAGCTTTTGTCTGAAGGATGGTCACAATTCTGGGGAAGCCAGTGAAACCATTCAGGTGAAGGATTTAGTAACGCCATATGATAAACTTCAACATTTGTAAATTAAATACAATTAAACTGATATCATTGATTTTCATTGTGTGCATTTATATACATTTATGAAAAAATAATTTCATTATTTTCTGAAAACAGCAACAGCCTCCAAAAAACTGATTTTGTTAGCAGCCATGCACAAACTCTCAAAGCTCAAAACTCTCAAAGCATGATTTGTTACAACAAAAAAAATGTACTGCAATATACACTAAATTGTCAAAAGTTAAAGGACACCCGAATCATTGAATTCAGGTGTTCACTTCCACTTGTGAGGCTGCTGTTGTGAATTATTTTGGAGCATTATAACCTAAATTGTTATCATTATACTAGAGCGATGGTGGTCTACATTGTCATAATTTAAAGTGTTATTTTATAGTGTAAAGTTAGGATCACAGTGTTAAAACTCTATAGTTCTGAGTGTGTGTGCTCCTTTCTGTATCTAACTGGCTAGGCTCAACAGTAGCACGTGTGTGAGTGAGCAAGCACAATGGGATAGCAAGGCAGCATCAAAAACTGCAAAGGAAAATTGTATTACAAAACATCAATATAGTCCATCACAGTAAGAATGTCCTGTTTCTAGCACGGAGCACAAACAACACCAGTTTATTCCACAAAAGTCAGTTCATTTTATGAATAAATATTCATATAAAATAAAAAATGCACTCAAATCAAATATGAAGGGGTGTGTCTCATTTACCTAGTGCAGTACTACAGTTCGGCATTGGTTTGAAGTCCCTGTGTCACATGACTTGGAAGCTATTGAAATAAATAATGATTTTCCCATAACACTGTTTTCACAATTGTAATTTATTGATGGTCCCTAAGCTAACCCCCGTTGGTTAAAATCGAGCCATCAGAGGTGAGCTAACCGCACTTATACAACCGTCACTGGGTGAACTGACTAAAAAGCCGTCACTGGATCCTGGGTGAATGTCTGTCGAATATCCAACTTAAAACTAACTTCACGCGGTCTTTAACCGCAAAACATTTCCACCATATTGGTGCAGAAACTTTCACCACAATGCAGGAAATAAAGATATAAATTATCAAAGTTTCCCCCAGACCTCCCACTCATATCTCAGCAATGAGGATATATTTAAAACATTATTTAAAGATCTTTTCGTCTCGTTTTAATGAACCTAATGGTGTCGCGGTATCGCGAGCTAAGTGTCTCGTCACACCCCTAATCTTATCCCCTATGTCCCCACAACTTTTCAACACAAAGTGATGCCCTTGAGTTCTACAATTCAATATAAGCAACAATCCTGCTGTTGCAGTTAAGCTAATAATGCTACGTTCACTTACCAGGTACCGTTAGGACAGCATTGGGTTCGTTTTCTGTAGTTTCTGTAACTTCGTGTTATCAGCTGCAGCGGCAGCGGCAGCGGCAGCAGCTTCAGGAGCAGGCTTGTGAAAACGCGGAAAGAGTAGATTGCGTTTGCTTTCGTTTCCACAAGATCTCCTTTTAACCCAATACCGTAACCAGCTATGAGGTCCCCGAGGTCCGGACATCCGTATTAGACTACTTCTCTCGCTCAGGATCAAACGATAATTCATGTTCTGTGTTCTTCTACACATCCAAAAGTTCTCACACACAGTCCAGGTTCATACTGTTTGGAGTAAAGCAGTCGTCCTCCTGAACAATCCTGAGCTCCATCAGGGCATCCACACATGAATTTCAAAAACTAAAAACTGTTTCCTCTGCAAAGTTTTCCCTCTGTATATAAGTTTATAATTTTATCAAGTTTATTTCTGCTTAAATGTCCCACAATATTTGCTGTGACATTACTGTGCATGTAACGTTAAAAATGACTGACAGTCCCCTTTCTAATCATTGAAGTAAATCAGTAAAGAAAGCACATCAAAACAACCCAATATAGAAATCACCTGCAGCTCCAGGGACCTGTCGAGTTGGGCTAAATCTGAGAAAATAATTAATTTGGTGAGGAGCCAGGTGAATTATGTAGCCTATGCATAGGAAAATGTCAGAGCTGATCCATCACACCAATTCAGCAGCCATAATTGTGACAAAACGAGTGCAAACAGCTGCTGACTTCAAATAATTAGGCTGTAATATCAACAATAGCATCCTCTGCATTCAGCACTAACCTGCTGTATTTATGTGTTCATATAATATTAGTTTTTTTATTGCTTTGGTAGCCTATATTATCGCAAGAATGTGGTAAAAGTTCACAACTCTTGTAAAACTCTTTACACTTGAAATTAGCAATATAATTAGATTATAATCATGTAGTGTATTTATATTACTGTATTGTACACACTACAATTATTGCAGTGGTCCTTTGTGGCTCTGTTTGTTATTTTAACGATAGAGAATAAAATCTTAAACATTCTGCATGTAGCCTTTGTATGAACACAGGGGCGTAGGAGCGACTTGGAACGTGGGGGGTACGCAGAAGGACTAGGAGGGTTCGGGTGCATACCCCCCCTATTTTTTTTTTAATAAAGCATTTAAATGCTCATTTCTAATCTAAAGAGGGTATTTGCCGTGACAAAAGATGGAGAATAGACTGGAGAGGGGAGATTATAAAAACTCAGGTGCAGTTTAACATAACTTGAACAAAACCGACTACTATAAAAACCATGGAACAGCTGCTAGTTAATGTAGCCGCAGTACAGTTGTATTTAGTTATCCTAAGATATGTCCTGTGTCTCACTTGGCCCTGTTTGTGAACACAGAACTGTCTTCAATGCAAACTCTGAAGACATGCCAATGACCTAACAAAATCCTTTACTATGTGAATATTACAATATACAGTATATCTAGTAGATATCCATACAACTTACAAGCTCATCCTCCTTATTTTTTCTACTCCTACTCCTGACCTCTGACCTCTTCCTCTTAAAATACTTTAGGATTCTCATCTCTGTGTGACAATTTTGACTACTTTTAAATTGTTTATGGACATGTAGCAGTGACACATACACACCTCAGGACACAGGGTGTTATGGTCAAGGACAGGGGCAAACAAATGGCCCAGGAGTTTGTCCCTGGTCAGACAAAGCATTTGTGGGGGCATTTGTGGGGGCCTTAAAATACATTTTCGAAACTAGAAACTCCTCTCTAACATGAAGATGTAGCCAACCAAACCACTTGCTTTACAGTAGTGCTGGCAGCCCATACAATCTGATTATTCCTAAAGCATCTAAATAATCTTTACAACGCCAAGAATCATTGTGGCAGTAACACAGAGCAGCTCATTGTTGAAGCAGGTAAACCTTCATATGGAGGAAGCTGTGCGTCACGAGTAAAGCCCAACAGGACTGTTTTATCCACCCATATTTTCTCTCTCTCTGTGCATCTAAAAAACTAATGTTTGGTGAATTAATAACAGCTGGTAGCTGCTGAGTGAAAGCCAAGATTAGTTTCTCCTGCAACATTCTGTTTATGGACTCACCGTCGGACATCGTTAAAACAAATAGTAGCCTAACTGATGTGAAAGAAACAGGCTAATGTCTGTCAAAGAAAGCTCTTTTCAACAACAGGATACTGTAAATATATCAGAATCAATCCAGTGATCATCTGACTTAGATGTTACAGTGTGAGTTCTACATTAGCTCTGCAGAGAGTGAATACGCTTTAAATGCGCCGTTAATGGAAAGTTAAAGTAGTATTTGTTTGCTGGCTTGTCGAAGAGTGACGCAGGCAGCTTTCCAACACGGCCATGGTGTGCGCTCACTGGATTTCTGTTGTATTAGTAGAACAATAAAGCCTTAAAATGAAAAGACACTTACCTTTGTTTATATTTTTGCATCTGCCCAGCTCATTTCGGTTAATGAAGCCTGATGCATGTTACAGACATTATGTAAATTATGAAGGTATCAATGTGAAAATGTGGCGCTATTAACAGTAGTGGCCTAAAGAAAATGCTAGAGTAAAGAGTAAAAGTATAGTTTTAAAAAGGAACGTGAAATTGTGCCAATGACTTTGTTTATTTTATACATTCATTTTGCAAATTTGCATTAGGCTACTAGTCTAACTATCCACCGCTGCAGGCGTCCTCACTACTGTCTTCAGGCTAAGTAACAGCAGCACAAAAGAAAAGTCTGTAATATCAACCGACTGCACCAGCCTGGAGTGAACTTTTTTTTCCCCCTTGAGTTTTCAGCACCACCTTTGCGTGGTGTCGGACTTTTTTTCAGAGGCCTAATGTTAGGCTACATGTTTTTTTGTCCGCGTTTCAACCGTTTAATCATGTCTGATATGGAGTATGAGCCAACTCCGAAATCGCCTGAAAAAGGTGAGGGGGCAAAACATCAATTTTGAAATGTGGGGGGGGACATGTCTCATGTATAATGGCTGCTACGCATATGTCTGAACATAATTATTTCGATGCGAAACATGTGTTTCTACCGAGTCAATGTCAGATGTTTTAGTAGTTAAAAAAAAAAAAAAAAAAAAGGTCCTTTTTGATTATCTGTTCTGTTTTTGGTACAGGTAGGATGAATCTTTAGGCACTGCCGAATTAACTTAGTGGAGCATGTTTGATCAAGTGGCTCCAGGAGATCACAGCTGATGGAGGTGCAGCCCGACACCTGCTGGTCATTTTTTGTAAATCCTTTTGTGCTTGCCGTTGGTTCCAAGCCATTTAGAATTGATTTTATAATTATTGAGAACACTTTATAGATATAAACATAGATAGATCACTCGTTTTCAATAAGGATCACTGCCAGTGTTGAGCCTGACAGCAGTGTTTGGAAATTTGTAAAGTTGGTATCTGTTTGACTTCCCCTGTGTCCTCGGATGTGACTGTAAAATGTTTTGTTATTGATGTAAGATGAATCTCAGCACTTCTTTCCTGCTTGTTGCGTTGTGTGTGGCAACGAGCATCATGCTGAAAACTAAAATTAGTTATTTGGCCTTGCAAACAGTACAGTTGAGTAGCCTGCTGTTATCCTTTGCTTAAACTTTTTTCACCTTTATTAATTTCAGGTAGAGCAATGCTCGTTTTCAGGAATTCCCTGATCATATTCATACAGTTACTCATTACAACATGTTTACTTTATTTGATTGTGCATGAAAAATGTGGAGCGAATAATGCAGATCATACATATTGTACAGAATATATTTTGCATAAAATTCTACTCTGCTATATTTATATGACAGCGACAGCAACTTAAAATAAAATAGTTATTTTACTTTTACATTTTTATCATTATGTTTTAAAACAAGCTTAACAAAAGAATTATAGCTAATTAAGAATTCTTCAGCAATAGATTAGAGGTAGAATAGAAGTTATTCGGTGCTAAACACAACTTTAATACAAGCAGGGTTGAATTTTCATGCATGATTTGATCACCTTAAATGGATTTCATCTCTGAACACACCATCAGAGTTGGGAAAAGGCACATAGTAATCTCTGTTCACTGCACTACTGTATTACACAAAAATGTTTTCCTTTCATGTCTTTAGTCCACTTCATAATTTCATTTCCATTTCACTTTGTTTATTCAGCTCCATCTCTGAATAAAATGGCGTCTCCAGGAGAGCTTGTTTTTCCTCTGACGTCAGCAGACCTTTGCACAGGGAGTCATGGATCTTCTGCCACGAGTCCATCTCTGAGCTCCAAAGTGTAGCTCTGGCTCTGATGAACTGTGAGACTTCAGTCTCGCTGCCTTTGGCCAGACCAATGCTGTCTTTACAGATGAAGAAGATATCCATGCCAAGAAAAAGAGCATTGACTGCAATGAAACCGGCCCTGGCTGACTTGGAGAGGGCAAGAGGCCCTTTGACTGCTACCTGACCGATATCTGGGACTTCTGAGGCCACCCTGGGCACGTTACGAAATGCTTTACCTTCCTGGGCCACCACCTTGCCAGCACTTACAATCAGCTCTTCACTTCTCAACATCTTAGCAGCAGAGGCAGCATCAACAAGCGCATAAATTCCATTTCTGATAGCACCAGCTTTACAAAGCACCTTTCCTACTGGTATAGCCTCATCTATCTTATCTGTTTCTCTTTTGATCACATCGTCCAGACAATCCTGGAGAATCTGCACATCCTTCATGAAGCTCTGGAAGACTTCACTGGCTTTCTTTTGATGTTTACGGTTTATTCCGATCTCTGTGGCTGTGGTGACAAGACTGTTGACCCCACTGGTAATTCCCAGTGCTGTCCCACCTATTAACAGACCTAGAGACACTCCAGCTGTCACTGGAATTAATGCCAAACCAACAATTGAAAGCACACCTCCAACTGCCCCCACTGAGCTGCCTGCAACACTGGAGATCTTTGCCCCCTTATTCATCCTGTCTAGCTGAACAGCATTCTCCTCCAGCTCATTGAGAAACTGCAGCATCCCGGGCTGTCGCTTGGTGAACTCACTGATGAAGCCAGAACCCGATTCCTCCTGAAACAAGAACACCATCCGGAAGTCCTGGTTCATCCTGAACAGAAGAAGAAAGAGAAAATCTCAAAGGTAATTGTGTTATTTTAAAATTCTATTTGGGCTTTTGATCTGCTTCATTTTATAATTTATTTTAGTCGCACTAGGGACTACCATATCAGAAGTGCAATAATGTAATGCACAGCAGGGTTTATGACAGGTAATTCTCATTAAATCATGATGTTAGTCTTGTAATATTACTTTTTTTGCCAACATATCAGAGAACACAAACTTGTGGGATTCTGAATGTGCAGAAAGTTTTGACCATGAACAGAAAAC